CGTTTTGTACGTCGAACCTATTTTAGGGCCGACTTAGTACAAATACAAGCCTCCACTGTGAAACTACTCTACAACACCTATATAACTCATCGTTAATCATCTGTCATGATTTGTTTAAGGAAACATTCATCATTATAATTGGTTACGAAATTTGGTAATTGCTTATAACTCAAACTAATACATAATTATTGGTCTATGCGTGCTGGCGTGTTTAAATAGAGTATAAGAATTAAATGAGATATACCTACCTATGGTCAACGGAAGGAGAGCAATCTACCGCGTTGACGAAATAAACAGATTTGATGAAGGCCACAGGGTACAACGACCGGAAACTGGTGCTAATAAAGATAAGATTGACGACAACAATCGAAATGCAAATATTGTAAATGTTTACTTGGAAATTGAGATATTCTGGAGATGGTTGAATTGGTGTTTAGGCTTTTTCTCCTTTGTACGAGTGAATGTTACATTTCCAGACAATTCAGGGTTAGCCGACTGAAGAAAACCTTACTGGAAACTGGCTGTGCGAATAATAGTTTATCCTTCAGATGATCATTTGAACAACCTTGTTTCGCACGCTACCCTCAGAGTTAGCATGTGTTTTGAGATGGTTTGCAATTACCATAAACGAACCCAGGCCAATTAAGATTTTTTTGTTGCTTTCTATCAGCATGGCTGATGGTAACCCCCAGGAGTGCGATATCTTTAGACTTGATTTGAATCAGCTGTAAGGTCTGTTTCTATGAAAAAACGGTTCACTGTCGTGACGTAGCGAATCTATCTTAGATATTTTTTTGTTGCTTTCTATCAGCATGGCTGATGCTAACCTCCAGGAGTGTGACATGTTTAGACTTGACTTTGTAGAAAGATTATATTGAATCAGCTGTTAGGTCTGCTTCTATGAAAAAAAACGGTTCACTGTCGTGACGTAGAGAATCTATCTTAGATATTTTTTAAAGCAAACTAATCGTCCCTGCATCGAATATCGCTACTAAATTTGGTCTGCTGCTATTGTTATGTACTTAGATATTCTTGCTGAAATTCAAAGAAGAATCTGCAATATTATTGGTCCTAACATTGCATCACGTTTTTAGTCAGTTTCCCATCGACGTAATTCATTTTCCCTGTGTCTTTTCAATAAATATTTTCATGTTACTTGTTCTGCTGAACTTTTCTCCGGACATTATGAACTTAAGCGCAGTATTAGATTGGCAGCAATATCACCTCCTTTTATACTTGAAATGGCTAGATGGAACCGCAAGTTCTATGCGAACAGTTTCTTCTCTCGCACTTCTGACTTGTGCATCTCTCTTACGGCTTATTGCTACCCAGTCAACATAAACCGTGAAATGTTTAATTGTTATATCAATCGTTATCTTGTTTTAAATCCTATTCTTTCATTGCTGCTTCTTCTTAACAGTGATTTCTCTTATGCTCTTACACTCATTAACACTTCGCGTCTTACTGGCTTTATTGCCTGACTTGAAGTGAAATGATGAAAAAAAAATGCAAGAATTTATATTATCTGGGAACCATCAGAACACAGAAAAGAGACGATAGATAATGAAACCAGTGTAGTGGTTCCCGTACGATCACCAAAGCTAAGTAACGTCACTCAGTATATAATCACTTTGAAAAACCGGTTCTTATATGATCTCCGAAGTTAAGCAACGTCGAGACTAGTCAGTACCTAGATGGTAGATTGCTTGGGCATACCCGGAGCTGGAAGCTTGGATGTGCAGAGGAAGTAATGGATTATGGCTCGGAATCTTTAATCGGCGAACCGATTTCCAATTCCCATTGGGTTCGATATATCCATTTACGCGCGTATATCACCTTGCCGAAGGTGTAGATTCATCCCTCCCCGACCCCAACTATGGGTTAATTAGCAAGACCTGTATCACTAAAACATTATCATCACCAAAAATTCTTACAATCTAAAAATATCTTCTGGCTTTAAATAACCTGCAAAGGGTTGATAAGCTCTCAAAAACAAAACAATCAATCCAATGAGGAAAAAGGCAATAAAATTTTGACTTGGGGTCGTAAAACAAGCACATTAATATATCTTCTGAGTATTTGGTGTCGCTTTTGTAGAAAAAAAAAAAAACGTTAAAAATAGTCAAACGATTATGGGGGCTTTTCAAGAAGCAGAATGGATAAACAAGAATTAACCCTGTTTTCAAATGCCGAATTATACTGTTAATATTGGTTAGTGAAACTGGTGGTGAAAATTATTGTATGCCTTTTAAACTAGACAAAGATATCCGGAATCTGATAATTTAAGAAATATTGATTTCTAAAGTAGCCAGTAGATTTGAATGAGGACATTCCTGAAGATAAACCTTCCTATCGTAATCCAAAAATAACTTTCATTATAGTATATAAAAATAGAGATATTGGCATTTTGACGTGGTGAAATAGTTACCAAGTTTGTCTTGCAAGGTCAATTACGACTGAGTTGTGAGTTCGATAATCACTGGGTGCTTTAAACTTTCGGCCTTATGCCACATCTAAGCTACGCTGTGTTAAACACAAATATATAAATCATTTAGTATAATTTAGACTTACACTAATAGTAAGAGAAGTTTAGTGGAAAGCCATAATCACTCACGCCCTGAAGGGACACAGAACAGTGAAGGTGTAATCACAGTAAGTGGCACCTAGAGATTGACCTGTTATATAAGATATTAACGCAGTATTGTAGTATCGAATATAAAGTGATGCTGTGAAAATCGGTTGAGGAAGGATTAAAGAAAAGACTAAAAAAAATCAGAGATAGATAGATAGATAATTAAGAGACTAAGATAGATAGATAGATAGATAGATAGATAGATAGATAGATAGATAGATAGTGTTGTGAGACCGTAACCTACCTATAAGATGGACTCTTCCAGGACTATATAAAGTATGCGATATAATACTCTAAGAGAAGAGAAGGAGAGAGAGAGAGAGAGAGAGAGAGTGTGTTCTAATACCGTAGTATCAACCGCGTACGACTACCAATATTGGACACTAGAACATAGTAAGCTCCGCTTACACTTACACTATCTTTGTAACCATTTTGTTTAATATATCTTTCTTACCTCTAGTCCGTGTTCCGTGTATTCCTTCCGTGGTCCCAACTTTGGGCCCGCATCAGATAGATAGATAGATAGATAGATAGATAGATAGATAGATAGATAGATAAGAGATTAAATATATAGATAATTTAGAGACTAAAATAGATAGATAATTGAGAGACTATGATAGATATATCGAGATAGATAGATAGATAGATAGATAGATAACTAGATAGATAGATAGATAGATAGATAGATAGATAGATAGATAGATAGATAGATAGATAATTAAGAGACTAAAATAGATAGATAGATAATTAAGCGTCTAAGGCAGATAGATAGATAGATAGATAGATAGATAGATAGATAGATAGATAGATAGATAGATAACAGACGAAAATACATAGATACATAGATAATTAAGAGACTAAGATAGGTAGACAGATAGACAGACAGATAGATAGATATGTAGATAGATAATTAAGAGACTAAAATAGATAGATAGATAGATAGATAGATAGATAGATAGAAAATTAAGAGACTAAAATAGATAGATAGATAGATAGATAGATAGATAGATAGATAGATAGATAGGTAGATAGAAAATTAAGAGACTAAAATAGATAGATAGATAGATAGATAGATAGATAGATAGATAGATAGATAAAAAGAGTGATGGAGGAGAAATCAATGGAAAATACATTATTGAAAACCCCTTTTCTTCCAGGTTAACGGAGACCTGAACCAATAGAGAGTGAAGGAGAGAGAATGATGATGAGAGATAGAGATAGTGAGTGAAATTTGTGAGGAAGATCAGAGAGAGGGGATTTAGATGCTTATTTTTTTTATTGACCTTGTAAAGTAATTAAATATGTAATGAACGTTAGTGATAAAGAGATATTCCAAATACCTCTTGAGAGGAAAAATCTCTCAAAGTCCAGTCAAAATTTCAAGCAAAAAGGAAACTGATGAGAGGATAGAGGGGAATTCATAACTGATTTTTATCTCCATATTCAATTCCTAGAATCAAACCAAAAACAAAAGGGTGATTCACTGATGGACCTATCACGCGGCAGTCAGTACTAGATTGCATATGTGTGTGTATGTGTGTGTGTGTGTGTAAGCGTTTGTCTATCTCTCTCTCTCTCTGTATGTGAGAAAATGTGATATAAGCTTTAATATACCATATAAATGTTAGGAAAATTAGTGAAAAAGTGGAAACATATTTTTGTATGACGCGTTTCGTCTATTGGGACGTCATCAGTTTAAAGGGAAGTGTTCATTGATGCAACTACGCATGCGCACGAAGGGGACCCTAAGCCGATTTTTTTATTTTTTTTATTTTTAATATATATGTCGGTATATTGTCTAGCCAATTACATTTACTTTTTATGATTTTTGTTATTAACCATCCAAGATTTTGATAATAGAAGATATGCGTAAAATACTGATATGAACCTAGACGTATATTTACTGTAGATGGTCTAGCGATTAAAGCACTTTCTATACATGTCATACTTCATAATTTTCTTTCTGTTTTAATTAAATTAGTATTTTTAAATCGAAATTATTGTTAGAATCGTTACGATAAGCAACAAATGCATTGAACTTATTGATTTGTAAAATACTCCTTTTGTGTTAATATAAATCTTTAATTAATTTCCTTTCTCTGGTGTATTCCTTGTAGCATCTGTTACTGGTGATAGAATAAATTCTTCCTTCAAGTTTTTACGTATCATTAAGTGTTTTCTTGTTGTAAAATTATATGTAACAAATATTATGTTGTGCTTAGCGAAATTATTTTCAGTTGTAGCTGTGCTAAAGTTGATGTGTGTGTGTGATCGCGCGTGCGTACCTGTGGTGTAAATAATTGTCTTAATTTAGAGAAGCAGCAAGTGCTCGTCACACCTATAAAACAGTTGAGCTTACATCGGCGACATGTTTTTCACATTTGGGATCATCTGTTTTGATGTTCCGGAAACCTTCCTGCTTAACCTCCTATACTGCCGATTCTTTCACTGGTAATTGAAAATAGAAGGAATAGCGGTAGACGGTATCATCTGATCTGAATTCTATAAACATATAAAATCAGTTAAATATCCTGCAATAGATAATAAAGTACATTGCTTGAGCGTCGTACGGGATGAAAGTATGTCGTTAATTATGTGCATTTTGTGATAAATATTAGAGAAAACTGACCGGTTACACACAATGCCTCGAAAACCAAACTAGGTACATTACATCACCGTCGATCAGACTCCGAACTACTGCCAGTCACGATGAACGGATGTCCCCTGGAGGAGGCACCGTTCCTTGAGAGAATGTTGGGCCTCAAAATCACACACGATCTCAAGTGGAAATCTTATAACGATCCATCGCTAAAGATGCATGTAAAATGATCGGCTCCCTGTACTGTCGCTGGAAGTACCTGGCTCCTCATACTATCCTATACCTTTAGAAGAGAAAGATCAGGCCGAAAACGGAGTACGTGTTCATATTTGGGCGAGAGCTGTCCAGTTATCCATTTTTCCGTCTTGATAGAGTTCAGTATCACAGACGGGATCTGGCGAACCTTTCACTACTTCCATAGAAAGTGATCGGACGAACTACATTCGTTGGTTCCGCCAAATCTAATCTTAACGGCTAGGACCTACCATTAAATTTACATTGTCTCAAACCACCCACATCCCCTACGTATTCTATAGGCGAGAAGGAAGTTCAACGGAAACACCTTCTTCCCGCGAACCACTGCATTGGATATTTTTCCCTGTCTTAATCTAGCGTCAGCCGTTATTTACCTTTCTTATCCATATAAACTACTCCTTGACGTAACCTTCTACCTCGAGTGGCCCCAGGACTTTATACTGACTGAACCCTACTCTAAAACGTGTCAGTAATTAGCTTAATTAAGAATAATATTAATCGTGATACAGCCCGTATCGTTATGAAGAAATGTTAGACATTCATTCACTAAATATTGGCTTTTTTGTTGCTTGACATTTACAGAATATTTGGCTTGAAATAGGAAAATGTGGTTATCAATGTTAATGTCTTCGTCCTGTCTGTTATTGATGGAGGTTTCCCAACTAACCGTTTGTTTAATAGAGAACGGAGACATCGGGATTCTTTCATTATTTTGTCTTCGAGTTATTTGTGCTATTCACCACATTTGTCGCTGTAGTGGAAAGAGTTTACGTGACGTAGTTTCTGTTATTTGACGAAGTTCTTTGTGATTCTGTAGCGCCATTCTACGAGAGATGACGAAAAATAGACCGCTTTATGACCTATAGTTTCCATTCGTTTGAATAAATTTTATTCACCGAATCTGTCACAAAAAATGTTGTACAGAAAATTGAGCTGAGTTAACTGTTGTGTCTGCAAAAAAGCATCGCAAAATAACGATATGCAAAAAATATAATTAATCCCAAGAATTGCTTAGAAATGAAATAGTATTATAGGAGAAAGAGTGAGAAAGAGAGAGAGAGAGAGAGAGAGAGAGAGAGAGATCAAAATGTAATACGAATCTCTCTCTCCCTTTATCTTTTTCTCTCTCTCTTTATATTTATTCCTCTTTATTTTTCTCTCTCGTTATCTTTATTTCTCTCTATCTTTATCATTATTTCTCTCTCTCTCTCTTTATATTTACTTCTCTCTTTTTATCTTTTTCTCTCTTTGTCTTTATTTCTCTTTGTCTTCATTTCTATCTCTATCTATCTGTCTGTCCCTCCTTATCTCTCTCTCTCTCTCTCTCTCTCTCTCTGTTATATGTTAAACATATTCTGCAAGTATACCGAATACGGTAAATATATGAGAATGCCTACACTGTATTCGCAGATAAATTATCGTATAAAAGCAATCAGGATGACCATTCAAGTTCTAAATATACTTGCATACGTAATAGACTTTACAGAAAAAAACGTAATATAGGTAACGATGTATTGGACTCTTCACTATCTAGCTTTATCTAATGAGCTCTTTGGCGAGATTGGTATCCATTACTCTCCAGCGAATAGCTTAAACTAATGATCTGTATAGAGACAGGTTTTCTAATTTTTTTTCTTCTTTAAGTTAATGCTCTGCCAGTTATCACAAGCGACATCTACGTCTTCCATGAAAGTAGGCCTCATTTATGGAGGATTATGAAACAGATATAGAGTGATTACGTCTTGTAAAAAAGAACATAATACATAGGTAAGCCAAATAGCATAATGAGTTGATTGTTAACGCATATCTTCCACTTGCACATCTATGTGACATGTCCTTTCAGGACGTAGTCGATCATGGCCTCTCCAAAACTTCCTGTTTTTTGTAGTTGTTACGTTTTATCTTTTTGCTATGCCTCCCAAATCCCTGTTCTATAAACCATTTACACACACTCGTGAGGTAGAACGACTGCCCCTTCGCCTTCAACATGTCCTGTGAGTGTCAAATTCTTCGCGCCCTCATTTCTTGTAATGTTCCGTAGAAATGTCAACCGTCTCTTTCTCTCTCTAAGTAGAATCACCTTTCTTTTATCACCATTATTCTTTTAACATACGTCGTTACTAGCTTCTTCAATACATAGTATTCTCAGCATCCTTCTGTAGGGCAACATTACAGTTTCCTCTTCTACTTTATTCATCCTTATTCACCAAATATCGTTAATACAATATTTAATCACAAAATAAGAATTTTTACGACCCAAAATATGTCTCTGCGTTATATAGCTAAGTGTTGATAAACCGTACAAAATCGAATCATATCAAAGAATCTGTGAGGTGTGAATCTACATTTACTGCCATATAGGAGGATCGATATTATATTGTGTGACAAATCGACAGAAGTGGGAAATGCTTTAAAAATTTAAAAATGATTTATGATATTACAGCAACAAATGGTGATTTTAGAAATTATATATTATCGAAATGTAATTTATGGCATACGTATCAAATATAGGTGGGGTATTAATGGAGAGTAATAAAAGAGATTCACCCATAACTAATTTTTTTTTTAAAGTTCTGTGGCATGAGACACTTGTAAATCCGCTGTTGTGAAAATGTTCGTCATCTATCATTAGTTGAAACGGTGAATAAGAATGGAGAACATGAGGTTACTTTACTTTTATAAATTTTTACTTAGAATAGATAAATCTGTTTTGATTCAACGTATTTCTCTCGATTGAACATGCAGACAAAATAAGTAAAGTTCACTTGACATCATCTGAATGGTAAGTATTCCTACTCAAGCATGGCTAGAAATATTTAAATAAAATATTAGATATGCAATACATATGCAATATCTATGGGCACCCCGGCGTGGTGTAATGGTTAGCAAGTTTGTCTCGCTAAATTATTTTCGACTGAATAGTGAGTTCGATCCTCATTGGGTGCCCCATGCTTATGGCCTTCTGCCACATCTAAGCTAAGCTTGGTAAATCTTGGGCACCTCGGCGTGGTGTAATGGTTAGTAAGCTTGGCTTGCTAGATCAGTTACTACTGAAAAGTGAGTTCGATTCTCACTGGATGCCCCATGATTTCGGCCTTGTGCCACATCTAAGCTACGCTTGGAAAATTTCTACATATGCAATATCTATATTATTTAAATAGTATGATTATACAACAACATCTAAATTATTTAAAAAAAAATTTTGGAGTTAAATATGTGTTCAGAATACGAGATATAGTGCTATTGTAGATAAACCCAGAGTGGACATGGGCATGAACGCTACAGGGTGACGGTCAGGTTCACTTCACTCTGAAGATTACACTGAGACCTGAAAAAGACATTCACAATGCAAGGATGTTTCATATGCACACACTATCTGTCTATCTATTCATCTATATAGCATAATGAGTTGATTCAACATGTCCTGTGTGTGTCAAATTCTTCGCGCCCTCATTTCTCGTAATGTTCCGTAGAAATGTCAAACGTCTCTTTCTCTATCTAAGTAGAATCATCCTTTCTTTTATCAACATTATTCCTGTAAAATACGTCGTTACTAGCTTCTTCAGTCCATGATATTCTCAGCATCCTTCCGTAGGGCAACATTACATTTACCTCTTCTCCTTTATTCATCTTTATTCACCAAATATCGTTAATACAATATTTAATCACAAACTAAGAATTTTTTGCGACCCAAACTATGTTTCTGCTTTATATAGCTAAGTTTCGATAAACCGTAAAAGATCAAATCATATCAAAGAATCTGTGAGAACCTTATTAATGTTTCAACTAATGATAGATGACGAACATTTTCACAACAGCGGATTTACAAGTGTCTCATGCCACAGAACTTTAAAAAAAATATCTATCTTGTTGTTGACTGATTTATAATGTAAGGCTTATCATCATTTCTTGGTTGTTTGAATAATTCTTTTCTATTGCAAGTCTAGATTAGCATCAGCAATATATTTTGGAGAAGGCAATGGGTATGAATTGAGGTCAAATACAGAACAAATATCGATCGTAATCCGACAATGATAGGATAAATAAACATGGCATCTACACAAATATAAGTATTCATTTAAAAAAAAAGTGTTAAATCCTGTTTCGTTTTTATTAAAGCTTCATCTGATGAATCATTATTAAATGGGAAACATATTAGATTTATAGATGTTTCTTATTTTTTTTATCCTATATATGAATAAAAATGACAATAGGAAAACTAGTAATTGCTGATGTGTTTCGTCTAATTTGGACTTTATATAAAGCAAAATACGAAATGAATTTATTTGAATAAGATAACTAATAAAAACACGTAAATCAATTAATTTATGCAGCAGACATTAATAATGCGTAATAATTTTATGGGTGCCTGTGAAACCATTCGACACCGTGCAGAACTATTTGAAAAAATAAGCCGGTCAATGATCAAACAGATGCATGTCCGTGTAAAAACAACCGGAGGACATTTTGAACATTTGTTATAATGGCCTTTTGGACAGATGTTTATAAAGAGATTTTACCTTGTTTTGCTGTCAAGAACACGGCTCAAAATTTGTTACATTATTTTTGATACACCCTATATATATATATATATATATATATATATATATATATGTCACCATTTTTAATTTCGCGCATGCGCATTATTTGTATTTGTATTTTGTTGACTAGACAGCATAGTAGAGTCAGTTGGGCACCGACTGTGAGAAAAATAACATCATAACGCAATTCACTTTGCAGGAAATTTGGAAGCGTCATTCTGTACTGCTTGGCATTCGGGCCAGTTCAAGTATTTAACTTTATTTTTAGTGGTTACGCATATTCGCGTAGAAGCTCCGTTAATTTATTAAACAGTCTATTAATTTCGTCTAGAGAACTTTTTGAAGAAAATTATGCGGTCTCCGGCAAAATTCGAACCAGCGCAACCACAGTACAAATCGTTGTTAGATCCAATGGGCTTTAGACCTTATCTATCACGAAGTGCGTCTATGATCAAGCAAATTTCAATTGTGCCTCATGAGCGCAAATGTTTTTTCAAACACTGCAAATATTCATACCTGCCATAATCTTCTTCTTTTCTGGAAAGTGTCCGAGCGCTTTCGGCTCAACGAATGATTAATTTTCAAAATCTGTCAGCTCATTGTGACCGTGTTTATAATTAATGTAACTCCAGATACATATATAAAAACATCCAAACATTCAGTTATATGTAAAAATAAAATCATGCTTGATAATGGCATAAAGAATAGCCGAAAGCGTCTGGATATTCAGTACATTCGGACAATTTCTACATAAATTATTAAATTAAAAAAAAGACATAACTGCAGTACCTGGCGAGTCGTTTTTAATGAAGCTTGTATAAAATAGGAATTACTTTCCAAATTCACATTATATATATATATATATATATATATATATATATATATATATATATATATATATATATATATCCCCGATGCAATGAGAACGAAAATAATATATAAATTCTAACATTCACAGCATTAGTTTTAAAGTGGGCTCGATACCGATATTAGAATGATGATTATTTATTATAATTTTATCATAGGGACAAAAAGAGTTTACTCACTACAAAGATGCTACTTCGTTTCGGTGCATTTCATTTGCACCTCGACTGGCGAGAACCAAAATGTTTATGAAGAATTCTGCTTGTAAGCTATACGTAACTGAAACGCCACTTCCGTTTTTCCATTTCTTAAAAAAAAAAACATATAAAGCAAAGCTTTTGCATCATACACACACTTATATATATCTATATATATATATACATCATATATATATATATTTAAAATGTATACGTATAAAATCTCTCTATATAATGTGTATATATATAAAAAATATATATATAAAATCTGTATATATATATATATATATATATATATATATATATATATATATATAAAAAACATATATATCTATAATATATATATATATATATATATATATATATATATATATATATATATAATCTACACTGACCTTCTTCAGGAGATGTACGTTGGATTTTCTAACCGAACAATTTCTTTACGTCACGAGAGTAGATTGTTCTCATTCCATGCGCCATATCTTTTCTCCAAGGAGACATGGCTCAGTAGATACAAACGTTGTTGGAGTAACCCATAAAATGATTTGACCCAAATGTTTGTGTGTTAAATACCTGGCGACAGCAGTTAGTTTAATTTCTAAAGGGAAATAACTGAAACTGAGATATTCCAAAAAGCCATGGCGCATTGTATTAGAACAATCTAACACGGGTGCTGAATAAATGATTCTATTCAAAATTCCAACGTTTATCACCTAATGAAGGTCGGAGCGTACCACGGTCGAAACGTCGTAAATATAG